GCCAGACCTGCATCTGGCTGAGAGGCCTTGGGGGGTCCTGCTGGAACCGCCCCCCCCGCTGGCCATCCTGCCCATGCTGCTGCTCCTCCAAGCGGTCTGAAGAGCCACCCTCGTAACATCGGGGGCGGCCAAGAAGGGGGCGTCCAAGAGGGGGGGTGCAAATCATGGCCGGTGGCATGTGCGCGGCCCAGCGGGGGGGCCAGGGACGTAATGAAATAAGAAGAGGCGCCATGAAATCTGGGGAAATATCATGGCCCCCGCCATGATACCCCCCCCCTAGTCTTCACCCTCCTCTTTTCCGCCCCCGATGACAAGCCCCCCCTTCAAGCGAACCCACCGGGCAGACGCACCTCGCGGCGGAAGCGAACAGGGCAGGACGGCTCAAGGAGCGCCGCGGGCTGCTCACCACGCCGGGCCGGACGGCGCAAGGAGCGCCGCGGGCTGCTCACAAAAAGCCTCAGGCTTGGGGGATGGGGTGAGCTGCCCTCCCCCCTCCTGCTGCGCATCCAGAAGTGGGTCCGGTGCCAGTGGCACTGGCGGCCAGCCGACAAGTTTGAAGGGGCCCTGGGACACACAAACAAACAGGCACAAATAACAGGATTCCCAATATTTTCCCATAGTTTCTGGGTTTTTGTCTTGCCTCCCACTGCCCATATGTTTCAAAATTTTCTGGGGAATCGACGATTAATTGTGTCTGTGTGTGTTTTTCATCCTGAAAGTTTCGGCACTGCAGCCAGTGCGAAGGGCGGTCCTTCAAGGTTCCGCCAACGGCGGAACAGTACGGAGGGTTCAGCAGCTCTTCAGGCCCTCTGCAATCTGCCATCGTGCCTTCTGGCACGTCGAGGGGCGGTCGAATTTCAAAAGCTGCCTGGCAGGGTTGCTGTACGTAAACATTCGCTCGCACCCCCCCCAACCCCTCGTCGCACAGTTCTGCGTGCACTGCCCCATCCTCTGGGCATCGCTCGGACGTCCATTCCCTGTGTTTTTTTCGGTTTCGTGCGTGGTTTTTTCGCCAAATGATCGAGGATGCTCCTCGATGGTCCTCGCCGAAGGAAAAATGCACACGTCCGAGCGATGCCAAGGCACTAGCGCCCTCTGAAGCTCTTCAAGGCCTTTAGGAGGGCCTCGGAAGGTCGCCGAGGTCGTCCTCAAGAAGAGGCACCCAGCACTTGCATCCTCCGAGAAAGACTCCAAGTGGCGCCCAAGGGGCCCCGGGAGGTTTCCAAGACAACAGAGAGAAGGCCAACAGGCAGGCCCTTCAGAAAAACCAACATCACTCAGCAACCCAAATCGGCGGCGAGCGAGGGGGGGAAGTGAGAAGGGAAAGGCCTTCTCAGAAGGCGGCGGGACTTCTCAGAACCCCCGCGCCTTCTGACAAGTCTGCTCTGCCTTCGGGGGAAGGCCGGGAACACTTCTCAGAAGGCCGGGTGACTTCCGAACCTTCTGAAAAAGCCTTCCGCCTTCTCAATTCCCCCCCTCGCTCGCAGCCGACCAAAAGATCGGGTCGGGCGAAAGGGGGGGATAGCAAAGGGAGGGGTTTGAGAATCAGCTCACGTAGCTGATTTTCCCGGCGCCTCCCGGCGCCGGAAGCGGCCATGTATCGAGGAATGGGCCCCTCAGTGAGGCCGAAACCAGCTGCATGCAGCAAATTTCGTAACCCCCCCTTTCCCAAACCCCCCCTTTCGCCCGGCCCGAAAAGAGCCCGAAGGCTTTTGACCATGCTCCGTTCTCCGGGCCTCCCGGCCCGAGACGGCTCCAAGAGGGCCTCGGGCCAGCCAAAGGGAGGCCCAGGACAGGCCTCGCGGGAGCCCCACTGCGCCCGCCAGACTGCCCAGGACGGCCCCACGAGAGGCCGCAGGGCCCCCCGGGGAGGAGGCCCAGAACGCACGAGAGGACGGCCCAGAAGCGTCCCAAGGTGGCCCACGAGAGTCTCGGCAGGGCCCGCGGGAGCCCGAGACAGCCGCAGGAGGGCCCGCGCAGCCACCCCGAGAGCACCTCGAGGAACAGAGACGAGAGGTGCCACACCCTCTTGCGTTGGGGACGGTGTTAGGGGGCCACATGCGAACCCTACCCCTACCCCCCACGACTTCAGAGGGACAGGGTGGGGTTCACTCCGCTCGGGAGCTCCCGAACGGAGTGAACCCCACCCTATCCCTTCAGAAGCCGTGGGGGGTAGGGGTAGGGTTCGCATGTGGCCCCCTAGGTGTTCGAAATGTCACGAGCAGCGTTCTGCGATGGCATGGTGACGGGACGTGCCACAGACAGCGGAGAATCCCCGGAGCCACATTACATGTGATTGAGCATGCCCTGTAGTACGTGTGGCTGTATGTCAGAAAGTTTCCGAGGGGCGGGATTGAACGACATCTGCAAATGCAGGATGGAGGCCGACCACCGTGTCAGCAACGCGTCGACGGCGCACAGAAGGCAGGCCGCACCCATCCCGTTAGCGAGGATATTTGTTCAGTTGTCTCCTGCTCCCTTCTCGGCCATGCTTCAGGTCGAGAGGAGCTGGCGCCAATTCCATCCCCGCTAGCAGGCCAAGGGGGAAATAGAGCTCACTAGCTTCATTGGGTGAATCGGATGCTTCGTTCGGTGACTCGCCACGCTGCTATGCCGCACCCAGCTTGGGCAGGTGCAAAGGTATACTTGCCATGCCCAGCTGGGGTACATTTAAGAGGACATGTGCTGTACCACCCACACCATCTGGGGCAATCACCCGTGACGTGTCGCCGAGGATTGGGAGCAGCAACTCCCATCGTTGGCCCCGTGGGGAGGAGGAGGAGGAGGAGGAGGAGGACGAGGAGGAGGAGCAGGAGGAGGAGGAGGAAGAGGAAGAGGAGGAGGAGGAGGCGGACGAGGCGAAGGGGGAGGAGGAGGAGGAGGAGGAGGAGGAGGGAGGGAGGAGGGAGGAGGAGGAGGAGGAGGAGGAGGAAGAGAAGCCTGGCCGACACACGCAGATGGAGGATGGACACCAACCGCCGGGCAAGCAGCCAGCCGGGGCGCAGCGAGGGCTCACGAGAAGACACGGGTCTTGCGCGAGACGACATAGCGACCACACGCGGCGGCTTACGCAGGCCGCCAGCGCGGCACACCGCGTGGAGAAGAGGGCGCTCGCGCGCGACCTCACGCGGGCAGCTCACGCACCAGTGTCGGTGAAGGCGACCCCGGTTGTCTGCGACGCTCAGATGGCAAGCCAGGACCTTTCCAGCGGCGAGCGAGGGGGGAAGTGAGCAGGAGAAGCCTTCCCAGAAGGCGGTCGGGCTTCTCAGAAGCCCTCCTGCCCTCTGAGGAGCTGTCTGTGTCTTCGGGGAAAGGGCGGGGCACTTCTCAGAAGGCCGGGGGACTTCCGAGCCTTCTAAGAAGGCCCGCCCCTCGTCCGTCCCCCCCTGGTAAAACAGGGCTAGGATCGGGATAAATCGCTCCAAAGCGTTCTGGAGCGCTCTCAGAGCGTTCTGGAACGCTCTGGAGCGGCCGCGGCGCCCAATACACCCTCCAAACCCGCCGATTCTCAGAGATTTCGAGTTATCCCGATCCGATTTTGTCCCGATCTTCGCGTCGTTTTACCTTGTCCGTCCCCCCCCGGGCTCGCCGCCGAACTTCAGCTCCAGGGATGCTGGTGCGCGTCTCGACCGTGCGCCAGGCCGCGAAAGACCGACGACCCACTGGCGGGCGAGCGCTCTGCAGGGCGGCGGCGGCCCCGGGAGTGCTCGGAGGGGGCGTCGCGGGGGGCGCTGCAGCGAGGGCTCACGGTGGCGTCTTTTTAGCGAGCGTGGTTTAGCGAAAACGACCCGAGGCCCAAACCTGGCGGGCGCAAGCCTGGAAAATGACGGCCACGGCGCCATCTCGAGAACCGAAAACGGACCATTCACTAGTCGACGTGGGGTCGGACACTCCCAGGCCATCATCAGGGGAAGAGGGAGAGTAGTATTCATATTGAGTAATTGTGGAGGGGGAGGAGGAGGGGGAGGAGGGGGAGGAGGAGGGGGAGGGGGAGGGGGAGGAGGAGGGGGAGGAGGAGGGGGAGGAGGAGGGGGAGTCACTGTTGGGGGGTTCTGTCCACCCCCGATCTCCCTGCCACTCCATCACCCCTCGACGGAGGGGCGCGGCGAGGCCGGCGGGGAGGTAAGGTTCGGTGGCGCTCGCCTCCCCGCGCCTCCTCTCCGCCGTTTTATCCCCCGCCCCCTCCTCCCCGACTCTCCCCTTCTTGGGAACCCCCAAACCGGGTGGTGAGATACCAGGTGGCGACCTGGAATCCCCAAAAAGGTCACCGCTAGGTTTGGGGACGCGGGGTCACCGCCGGGTTTTGTGACTCCTGGACACACCAACGTTCGGGACATCCTCGGAAAACCGCACGAGTCCCAAAACCGGGTGGTGACACCAAATCGCCTGAGACTCACCGCCAGGTGTTGTCACCACCACGTTTGGGGACTACTAACCTTCACCCTTCACCCTTCCTCTTGAGCCCTCTCACGTTTTCCCGCGCGCCGCTGCCATCTCCCCCGGCAGGCCTGGAGACGGGCAGGGAAGGGGAACAGTACTCACCAGGGTGCGGGATCGGAGGGCGCTCCCATGCCCATGGCACCCTCCTCCTCCTCATTACCCCTCTTCCTGCTGCTGCTGCTGCTGCTGCTGCTGCTCCTCTTCTTCCTTCACCTCCTGCCCCGCTCCCTCCTCCTCCTCCTCCTCCTCCTCCTCCTCCTCCTCCTCCTCCTCCTCCTGTACCCCCTCCTCCACCTCCTCCTCCTCCTCCTCGCAGACCACAGGGGTGCCCTGTCAACCTCCTCCTCCTCCTCCTCCTCCTCCTCCTCCTCCTCCTCCTCCTCATTACCCTCCCCGACGTGCCTCCTCCTCCTCCTCCTCCTCCTCCTCGCCCGTCGCCCGTCCTCTGCCCTCCCTCCTCCCCCTCTCCTCACTCTCCCCTCCATGCTTCCCCCTCCCTGCCCCCGCCCGCCCCTCTCCCCGCCCCCGCCGCCCCTCGGGGCGGGGGGGGGGCGGCGCACCTGCCAATGCCTGGGGTGGCCGGGCTGAACGGCGACTTCCCGGACGACCCGTCGGGGCCCGGGGTGAAGGGCGAGAGCGGCGCCCCGATCCGCGCGTCCTCCTCGTTCGTCGGCGTCACCTGGCTGCAGGGGCGAGGCGTGCGGCCGTCGTCGTCGTCGTCGTCGTCGTCGTCGTCGTCGTCGTCGTCGTCGTCGTCGGGGTCGGGGTCGGGGTCGGGGTCGAGGTCATCGTCGAGGCCGTCGTCGCCGGAGAGCGCGGGAGCGAGGCAGATCGTCGAGGCCGTGCCGACGCCGCCCGCGCCGGGCCGTGCACGTCCAAGCCCCTTTTGCTCCCGAAGGGGGCCCAAGGGCATGCGTCAGGCTCCGGAGCACCGCCGACCTCGCCCCTCTCCAACGCTTCGAGGGCACATGCGCCAGAGCCCTCCAGCGCCAGAGGAGATGACAGGCTGGAACGGGACATCAAGGCCCCAGCTCGCAGGACGCCTCTGAATCTTCCCGAGAAGATCATCCTGGACGAACGCGGCTGTGAACATCTTATCCAAAGGCACCTGTGAGGGGAACTTGCGTTCCAGACGGGGACTGCCTTGCGACACTATCCGCCTGGCATGGCTGATGGGAGACGGAAGGGAGGGGACCGCTTCACGGGGGGAGCCCCTGTAGAGGGACACGCCCGACTGCAGGCGGACCTTGGGCGAAAAATAAGTGTTCAATTACCCTGGCGACGTACCCAACCCCTGCGCAAGGCAGGGCATGAGTAGCTTGGGAGACGTTGTACGGAGGTGATGACGTGACATGGGCGCATATACTTCTGCGAGCGGCATTATTGAGGCTCGCAGCCCCCCGAGGATTGCGATGTCTCGCTCAGATCTGCCTGGTGCCTCGCTCCGATGAACCCGCCACCAGCCTTAGAAAGTTGCGACGGTTTCGCAGATCGCAGCCCCCCAAGGACGGCGAGGCTCCGCTCAGATCTGCGCGGTGCCTCACTCCGCTGGACCCACCAGCAGCCCTCGAAAGTGGCGACAACTTCGCAGATCGCAGCCCCCCAGCGACGGCGAGGTCCCGCTCAGATCAGCGCGGTGCCTCACTCCGCTGGACCCACCAGCAGCCCTCGAAAGTGGCGACAGCCTCGCAGATCGCAGCCCCCCAGGGACGGCGAGGTCCCGCTCAGATCCGCGCGGTGCCTCACTCCGCTGGGCCCACCAGCAGCCCTCGAAAGTGGCGACAGCTTCGCAGATCGCAGCCCCCCAGGCACGGCGAGGTCCCGCTCAGATCCGCGCGGTGCCTCACTCCGCTGGACCCACCAGCAGCCCTCGAAAGTGGCGACAACTTCGCAGATCGCAGCCCCCCAGGGACGGCGAGGTCCCGCTCAGATCTGCGCGGTGCCTCACTCCGTACGACCCACCAGCAGCCCTCGAAAGTGGCGACAGCTTCGCAGATCGCAGCCCCCTAAGGACCACCCCCCTAGGGTCGGCGAAGTCGCGCTCAGATCCGCGCGGTGCCTCACTCCGCTGGACCCACCAGCAGCCCTCGAAAGTGGCGACAATTTCGCGGATCGCAGCTCCCCAGGGACGGCGAGGTCCCGCTCAGATCCGCGCGGTGCCTCACTCCGCAGGGCCCACCAGCAGCCCTCGAAAGTGGCGACAGTTTCGCAGATCGCACCCCCCCAGGGACGGCGAGGTCTACCTCAGATCCGCGCGGTGCCTCACTCCGCAGGACCCACCATCAGCCCTCGAAAGTGGCGACAGCTTCGCAGATCGCAGCCCCCCAAGGACGGCGAGGTCCACCTCAGATCTGCGCGATGCTTCACTCCGCTGGACCCACTAGCAGCCCTCGAAAGTGGCGACAGCTTCGCAGATCGCAGCCCCCCAAGCACGGCGAGGTCTACCTCAGATCCGCGCGGTGCCTCACTCCGCAGGACCCACCAGCAGCCCTCGAAAGTGGCGACAGTTTCGCAGATCGCAACCCCCCAGGGACGGCGAGGTCTGCCTCAGATCCGCGCGGTGCCTCACGCCGCACGACCCACCAGCAGCCCTCGAAAGTGGCAACAATTTCGCAAACCGCAGCCCCCCAGGCACGGCGAGGTCTACCTCAGATCCGCGCGGTGCCTCACTCCGCAGGACCCACCAGCAGCACTCGAAAGTGGCGACAGCTTCGCAGATCGCAGCCCCCCAAGCACGGCGAGCTCTACCTCAGATCCGCACGGTGCAGATCCGCGCGGTGCCTCACTCCACAGGACCCACCAGCAGCCCTCGAAAGTGGCGACAATTTCGCAGATCGCAGCTCCCCAGGGACGGCGATGTCTACCTCAGATCCGCGCGGTGCCTCACTCCGCAGGACCCACCAGCAGCCCTCGAAAGTGGCGACAGCTTCGCAGATCGCAGCCCCCCAGGCACGGCGAGGTCTTGCTCAGATCCGCGCGGTGCCTCACGCCGCAGGACCCACCAGCAGCCCTCGAAAGTGGCGACAGCTTCGCAGATCGCAGCCCCCCAGGGACGGCGAGGTCTACCTCAGATCCGCGCGGTGCCTCACTCCGCAAGACCCACCAACACCCTCGAAAGTGGCGTCAGTTTCGCAGATCGCAGCCCCCCAGGGACGGCGAGGTCTACCTCAGATCCGCGCGGTGCCCCACTCCGCACGGCCCACCAGCAGCCCTCGAAAGTGGCGACAGTTTCGCAAATCGCAGCCCCCCAGGGACGGCGAGGTCTACCTCCGATCCGCGCGGTGCCTCACTCCGCAGGACCCACCAGCAGCCCTCGAAAGTGGCGACAGCTTCGCAGATCGCAGCCCCCCAAGCACGGCGAGGTCTACCTTCTACCTCAGATCCGCGCGGTGCCTCACGCCGCACGACCCACCAGCAGCCCTCGAAAGTGGCAACAATTTCGCAAACCGCAGCCCCCCAGGCACGGCGAGGTCTACCTCAGATCCGCGCGGTGCCTCACTCCGCAGGACCCACCAGCAGCACTCGAAAGTGGCGACAGCTTCGCAGATCGCAGCCCCCCCAAGCACGGCGAGCTCTACCTCAGATCCGCACGGTGCCTCACTCCGCAGGACCCACCAGCAGCCCTCGAAAGTGGCGACAATTTCGCAGATCGCAGCCCCCCAGGGACGGCGAGGTCCCGCTCAGGTCCGCGCGGTGCCTCACTCCGCAGGACCCACCAGCAGCCCTCGAAAGTGGCGACAGTTTCGCAGATCGCAGCCCCCCAGGGACGGCGAGGTCCGCTCAGATCGCGCGGTGCCTCACTCCGCAGGACCCACCAGCAGCCTCGAAAGTGGCGACAGACGCAGACTGCAGCCCCCCCAAGCACGGCGAGGTCTACCTCAGATCCGCGCGTTGCCTCACTCCGCAGACCCACCAGCAGCCCTCGAAAGTGGCGACAGCTTCGCAGATCGCAGCCCCCCAGGGACGGCGAGGTCTACCTCAGATCCGCGCGGTGCCTCACTCCGCAAGACCCACCAACACCCTCGAAAGTGGCGTCAGTTTCGCAGATCGCAGCTCCCCAGGCACGGCGAGGTCTACCTCAGATCCGCGCGGTGCCTCACTCCGCACGGTCCACCAGCAGCCCTCGAAAGTGGCGACAGTTTCGCAAATCGCAGCCCCCCAGGGACGGCGAGGTCTACCTCCGATCCGCGCGGTGCCTCACTCCGCAGGACCCACCAGCAGCCCTCGAAAGTGGCGACAGTTTTTCGCAGATCGCAGCCCCCCGGCGACGGCGAAGAGAGGGCAGGAGGAGACGAGAGGAGGCGGGAGGGGGGCGGGAGGAGGACGCGACCACACCTCTCTATTCAAAACGAATACCCAACCAAGGAGGGTTGGGAAACATATTCAAGAACAGCCACAAATATCAGAAAACCGTCCCCAGACTATTTCTTCTATCGTTGAGCATCCCTCCTGCAGAGGGACAGGCCCGACTTGAACGGGAGGTTGCCGCCACCCGCTGAAAGCGAGTGGAGGTCGACCGCCTCCTGCGTAGGGGGCCACCTGCGAACCCTACCCCTACCCCCCACGATTTCTGAAAGGGAGGCCGGGGTTCACTTCGTTCGGAAGCTCACGAGCGAAGTGAACCCCACCCTCTCCCTAAATTACCCTGGCGATGTACCCAACCCCTGCGCAATGCGGGGCATGAGTAGCTTGGGAGTCGTTATACGGAGGTGATGACGTGACATGGGCGCATGTACTTCTGCGAGCGGCATTCGTGAGGCTCGCAGCCCCCCAGGGATGGCGAGGTCCCGCTCAGATCTGCGCGGTGCCTCACTCCGCTGGACCCACCAGCAGCCCTCGAAAGTGGCGACAGTTTCGCAGATCGCAGCCCCTCAGGGACGGCAAAGTCCCGCTCAGATCCGCGCGGTGCCTCACGCCGCACGACCCACCAGCAGCCCTCGAAAGTGGCAACAGTTTCGCAGATCGCAGCCCCCCAGGCACGGCGAGGTCCCGCTCAGATCTGCGCAGTGCCACTCTCCGCTGGACCCACTAGCAGCCCTCGAAAGTGGCGACAGCTTCGCAGATCGCAGCCCCCCAGGCACGGCGAGGTCTTGCTCAGATCTGCGCGGTGCCTCAGTCCGCTGGGCCCACCAGCAGCCCTCGAAAGTGGCGACAGTTTCGCAGATCGCAGCCCCCCAGGCACGGCGAGGTCTTGCTCAGATCTGTGCGGTGCCTCACTCCGCTGGACCCACCAGCAGCCCTCGAAAGTGGCGACAGTTTCGCAGATCGCACCCCCCCAGGCACGGCGAGGTCTACCTCAGATCCGCGCGGTGCCTCACTCCGCTGGACCCACCAGCAGCCCTCGAAAGTGGCGACAGTTCCGCAGATCGCAGCCCCCCAGGCACGGCGAGGTCTTGCTCAGACCTGCGCGGTGCCTCACTCCGCTGGACCCACCAGCAGCCCTCGAAAGTGGCGACAGTTCCGCAGATCGCAGCCCCCCAGGCACGGCGAGGTCTTGCTCAGATCCGCGCGGTGCCTCACTCCGCAGGACCCACCAGCAGCCCTCGAAAGTGGCGACAGTTTCGCAGATCGCAGCCCCCCAGGCACGGCGAGGTCTTGCTCAGATCTCGCGGTGCCTCACTCCGCTGGACCCCCAGCAGGCCTCGAAAGTGGCGACAGTTTCTCAGATCGCAGCCCCCCAGGGACGGCGAGGTCTAATTTGGGTCCGCGCGTGGCGTCACTGTGCTGGGCCCCCCAGCAGGCCTCGAAAGTGGCGACAGTTTCACAGATCGCAGCCCCCCCCAGGGATGGCGAGGTCAAAATTGAGGTCCGCGCGTGGCGTCACTGTGCTGGGCCCCCCAGTAGGCCTCGAAAGTGGCGACAGTTTCACAGATCGCAGCCCCCCCCCAGGGATGGCGAGGTCTAATTTGGGTCTGCGCGTGGCGTCACTGTGCTGGGCCCCCCAGCAGGCCTCGAAAGTGGCGACAGTTTCACAGATCGCAGCCCCCCGCAGGCAAGACAGGAGGAGGCAAGAAGGAGACGGGACGGGAAGGAGGAAGTTAAGACCACACTGCTCCATTCAAAACGAGTACCCAACCAGGGAGGGTTGGGAAAAATCGTGGGGGGTAGGGGCAGGGATCGCATGTGGCCCCCTACTGCGGGCAGCTCCCCCCCCCGGCAGAGGCGCGGTCGCGGTCGCGCGCGAGAGGACTGGAGCGCCGGGAGCCGCGGACGCGCTCGCGCGGAGCCGAGCGCCGCCTCGAGAGGCCACGCAGAGGGGAGGCCCAGCAGGGGCCGCCTCCAGGACGGGGGGGGGGGAGGGCCTCCGCTGGCAGACGAGTCCGCCGCAGCGGGCTCGAAGCAGCGCAGCTCGGGCGAAGGAGGGCGAGGAGGGGGGGGGGAGGGGGAGGAGAAGGGAGGAGGAGGGGGGAAGAGGAGGGAGGAGGCGGGACGAGGGGGATGGGGGAAGGACGGAGAGGAGGAGGCGAAGGGACATGGAGGAGGCGGAGAAAGAGAACAAGGGGAGAGATGGGGCAGCACGAGGGCGGAGGCTGACGAAGATGATGGAAGAGGAGGAGGAGGAGCAAGATGACAAGAAGGAGTAGTAGGAAAATGAAGAGGAAAATGACGAGGAGGAGAGAGAGAGAGAGAGAGAGAGACAAGACAAGACAATCGCATCGGATCCCCAATAATGGACTTCGAAGAAATCGGACAGCCCAGCGTACTGATAGATCTGCTCGGGCGGAAGAAGAGCAGGAGGAGGAGGAGGAGGAGGAGGAGGAGGAGGAGGAGGAGGAGGAGTAGAAAAAGCAGGGAAGAACAACCAGCCGGCGTCACCTGGGGCGTGTGGGCCACGACCGACGTCCCCCCGGTCGACGGGAAACACAGGTTCACGTCGCCATTGTAGACCGTGGGCTCCGCAAGGGGTGTCGGCATGGGCGACGACACCGGTGAGACCATGGAGAAGTGGTCCGTAGCCTTCTGCTGCTTGAGAACATGTGTACCCCGGTCCAGCGGGCAGTCGTGCGCCTTTCTGGATCTGGCCGTTATGCTTCTTATTTGCTGGGTTGCTATCGTGCGCCAGTGGGGCATAGTCGCTCGAAGCTGACTGCTACTGCTGCTGTATATCCTAGCCGCAGCTGCTCACTGCTCAAGGCTGCGGGTGCTACGCGCACGGCTAACGCATAGTAATGTCTACGTCTGAAATGTTCGATTACAACGCTGCTTGCCCAATAATGGTTACACGGCCAGGAAACGAACCACTGGATACCAAAGGACATGGACCATCGATCTCTGACTTTCCCTGGAAGAGGCAGGCCTGAGCGATGTGCACTAGCACCATCATGCTGAGGCTTGTTGCTCCCCCTCTGCTACAAATCAGACTGATTGCGCCCACGATCAGGGTCCCGGGGGGTGGGGGGGCAGATTCGTTTTCCCTCGGGCGGCCCCCACGAGGCTTCCAAGCGGCCCCTCAGAGCTTCCCAAGAGGCCCACAAACTACCCCCAAGAGGCCCCCAAGAGCGCTCGTCGTCGTCGTCGTCGTCGTCGCCATTCAGGGTCGGCGGCACCGGCCGTAAGGCCTTCGCAATCAGACTGATTGCGCCCACGATCACCGATGCTTCTACGACACCTCGTGCTGCCGCGTTGACTCTGGTGGCACCGCGACCGAAGACGCCGACGCTCCTGCTGCGACTGACGAGGGCCGACCACAACGACGTCTAGAACGCATTGGCGCTTAGATCGAAAACTAAAACGGATCCGAAGGTTGGCAACAAAAGCCTAGAACGATACGGGTGCAAACGACAACGAAACTGAAACCATGTCGCCATTCGGCGAGATAACAGAACGAACAAAGAAATGAACCCCGCAGACCGCGTTGGAAAACAAAACGGAAAACGAAACGATGGCATCGAAAGATGGCTGAGGACGGGGCAGTATTGAATAGGGGTTGTTGCCAAGGCGAACGCGAAGGGCAAAATTCTGACTGGGGCCCACCGCGAACATAACGACAAAATGAAGCAAATCAAACACGAGACGGAAAAATGAGTCAGGGCTGCGGCGAAGGCTGCAAGGCCAGGGCTAGGGCGAAGGACGGGGTTCCGTTTGAGGCTCGTGCGAAAACAAACGGGACGACAACAACAACAACAACAACAACAACAACAACAACAACAACAACAACAACAACAACAACAAACGAAACGAACAACTGACCAAGGCTTAGGCGAAGGCTACAGGGCCAGGGCTGAAGGCGAGGGGCGAGGTACCGTTTGAAGCTACAGGGCCAGACCTCTGGGTTTTCGTCTTCCCCCCCCCACTTCCCATGCTGTTTTTGCGATATTTTCTTCGGAATCGACAAATCATTGTGTCTGTGTGGTTTGGCGCCCTCCCGATTGCAAGGGCCTCCAGGGCCTGGACCACGAAATGCCCTGGCGCCGCCCTCGGGCGCTCCCGGGGCGACGCCATGGCGCTCCCGGTGTGTGCTGCGCAGGCCTCATGGACGGCGCCCCCCTCCGCCCAGGACACCCCCGCAGCGGGCCAAGGCAGCCCTGAGAAGGTCCTCGGAAGGGGCCGATGGTGCAAAAGAGCTCTCAAGCTGTAGTCGCCGTCGTCGCCGTCGTCGTCGCCGTCGTCGTCGTCGTCGTCGGCGTCCCCATCTCACCGGTGCACCCCTGGGGGGAACCTTTGGGGGGTGGGAACCGGTAATGCCAAAGAGCTCTCAAGCTGCGGTTGCGCAATCTTCCCGTCTGGCTCCAGGACGTGCGTTGCGACTTCCAGATCCGAGCCCGACTCCTCTTCCTTCTCCTCTCCCTCCTCCTACACCTCTTCCTCCTCCTCCTCATCGTCCTCCTCCCCCTCCTCCTCCTCCTCCTTTTCCTCCTTCTCCTCCTCATCATTTTCCTCCTCCTCCTCCTCTCCCTCCTCCTCCTCCTCCTCCTCCTCCTCCTCCTCCTCCTCCCATCCCTCCTTCTCCTACGAATTCTCCTCCTCATCCTGTTCTCCTCCTTCCTCCTTCCATCTTCCTGCTCCTACTGTTCCTCCTGCCTCCTCCTCCTCCTTCCATCATTCTCCTCCTCCTCCTCCTCCTCCTCAGTTATCCCAATTATTCATACTCTCCTCCTCCTCCCCCACTCCTCCATATCTCCTCCTCCCCCTCCTCCTCTCCTCCTCCTCCTCCTCCTCCCCTTTCCCGTCCTCCTCATCTCCTTCGTCCTCCTCGTCCCCCGTGCTCCTCGTCCTCTTCGTCTTCTCTCCTCCTCGTTCCTCTCCTCCTCCTCCTCCTCCTCCTCCTCTCCTCCTCGTCCTGTCGTCCCTGTCCTCGCCTCCTCCTTCTCCTCCTACCTTCTCCTTCCCCGTCCCCGCCTCCGCCTCCCCCTCCCCCTCTCCTCCTTCCTCCCCCTCCTCCTCCTCCTCCCTACCCTCCTCTCCTCCTCCTCCTCCTCCTCCTCCTCCTCCTCCTCTCCTCCTCGTGCTCCTCGCTCCTCGTGCCTCCTCCCCTCCTCCTCCTCCTCCTCCTCCTCCTCCTTCTCATCCTTCTCGTCCCCCTCGTCCTCCTCGTCCTCCTCGTCCTCCTCCTCGTCCTCGTCCTCCCTCGTTCCCGTCTTTGAACCTCGTCTTCGTCCTCGTCCTCCTCCTCCTTCTCCTCCTCCTCCTCCTCCTCCTTCGTCCTCGTCCTCGTCATCCTCCTCGTCCTTTCCTCCTCGCCCTCCTCGTCTTCGTGTTCCTCCTTCCCTTCCTCATCCCCCTCCTGCTCCTCATTTCCTCCTCCTCTTCGTAGTCCTCATCCTCCATTCCTCCTTTTCCTCCTCCTCATCTTATGCTTCTTCGTAGCATGATTCATCATCTTCTTATTATTCTTAAGAATCGCATTATTCGTGCGAGTATTCTCAATATTTGTATGAGTCGTCGAATCATTAGTCTTCGTCAAAGTAAGCTTCTGCGTATTATTATCAGTAGTAATGGTCGTAGTATGGTTCGTAGCATTGTTACTAACAGTATGATTATTAGTAGTAGGAGTCTTAGTATTATCATTGCTAACAATACTAGTAGTGTGAATAATATTAGTAAGGTTTATCGTAGTTGTCTTATTACTACGAATACTAAACAACTATTATTATCCTTTCTCTCTAAGCGAAACTGATCTTACTGTTATGACCTGTGCTCGTACGATTCGTCTCTTTCGTGTTATTGGCATTACCGTTCGTATTAGCAGTAGTATGATACATTGATTATCATTGCCATCGTTCGTGGCACTAAAACCATTACTATCCTCCTCCAC